CCATCAGCTTTCTTCACACTTGCTTGTGCACCCATTGTCTTCAGTGACTTCAGGTGTTATATTTTTTGGTAGCCAAGCATCATCTGCTTTCATCACCACATTTTTTTGTGCACCCATTGTCTTCAGCGATCATGTCAGGCAGGTGAGCATCTCAGTCTGCCAAATTGTTAGAACAAAGTGTTCTTGTGTTGGGGGAGTACTTGTGTAGGAACTGGGCCTCATTTTATATCACGTTTTTCTTTAAAACGTTTTAAAAATGAAAACAGTATTTTAAAAAATAAAAACAGTATTTTGCTAGCCCACAATTTTTTTTAATAAATAATTTTATTGGGGGCTCTTATAACAACCCATACATCAATTGTATCAAGCACATTTGTACATTATGTTGCCGTCATTTTCAAAACATTTTCTTTTTACTTGAGCTCTGATATTAGTTCCTCTTTTTGCCCTCCCTTCCCTACTCGTGGGTCCTTGATAAATTGTAAATTCTTTTCCTATCTTGACACCGTCTGCTGTCTCCCTTCATCCAAGTGTCTGTTGTCCTTCCCCTGCGGGGGGTTTGTTATATGTCGATCATTGCGATTGGCTCCCCTTCTCCCCCGCACCTTCCCCCTATCCTTTTGTTATCGATACTCTCATTACTGTTCCTGGGGGGTTTATCTGTCCTGGATTCCGTGTGTTGAGAGCTCTTGTCTGTATCAGTGTACAGCCTAGCCAGATTAGCACACAATGTTTTTCTGTCATGTTAGGTCCATAGTCTGCCCTGTTCATGTGCAACTGAAAGAAGCATGGGCCAGTTCTGCACCGTCCTCACCATTGTTGCTCGCCTTGAGCCCATTTTGTTCACTATGTCAGTCCACCTAATTAAGTGTCCTCCTCCTTACCAACCCCCCTCTGTTTACCAAGTATGATGTCCTTCTTCAGGAATTGGTCCCTCCTGATAGCATGTCCAAAGTGTAGTAGAGATGTAAGTCTAAGGAGTTTTCATGTATTAAGGGGTATTCTGGTCGTATTTGTTCCGTACCTGGTGATCCATGGTATCAGTAAACATTCTGTGCCAACAATGTAATTCAAAGACACCAGTTCATTTTGGTCTTTGTCCATCTTTCACACACAGGGTCAGGCTCATCTGCATCTTCAAAGTGACATTCTTGCTTGCAAACACTTGCAGCAAGCAGATTTGCCCAGCGCATCATGTCACTAGATCTCACAGGTGTTGTGGCTTCTAATTTCTAACTTTCCTCCATTTTTCATGGGTTTGCTTACTGGTCCACTTAAGGATTTTTGTTTTGTATATGTGGAGTTATAATCCATGTGGAAGGCTGTAGTCTGTGATCTTCATCAGTAAGTGCAGCCAGGTTGTATCACCTGCTTGATGAAGGTTGTGAATTAGTCTTCAGGTAGCGCAGTTTCTCAGACTGTATGGCATACAGCTCCAATAATAGAAATGCTAATTATTTAAAAATAAGTGTTTGTTTGGTGCCCTTTATTGCCAGGGAATTATTTTAGGACGTGATTTTCAGCTTTCATATGTCATTAGTACATATTTTTGAAAGCAACTTAACATATTGAAACTTAAGTTTTTTGGACTATGAGGTGAAGTGCTCCCATCTCAGTTCTGCTTGGTGTGCTTTTTATATACGGATAGCCACAATGGACAAATGGGTATAGAGACAGGACATTGGGTCACCCCTCAGACCTGAGGCTAGTTACGGGCTCTGGAGCCAGACAGCTGGCCTCACATCCTGGTCCATTGCTGGTTCTCACTTTAGAGCCTTCACCTGCAAAATGGACACAGTGAGTGCTGTTAAGACCGAGTGAGAGGACTGTAAAGTGGTTGCTTGACTCACTGCCAGGACTATTCAGATGTTACCAAGTGCTGCTGCTGATCACTTGTCTGCTACGACCTTGGAAAAAACAAAACTGCTGCAGTGGTTATCTTGTCATGGTGCTCCCTGGACTCCCTGTCTGTCAGTCTTATTGTGAGGCGGAGGGTGGTCTTGGCGGGAGGAGGGTATTAAGCTGATGCCATTTTGGTGGATATTTAGGTGTTTCCTAGTTTGTTACTGCATTTACATTCCTCTTTGAGCAGCTTTGGAAATGAATCTGTTGTTGATGTTAGCTGCCATCAATTTGCCCCCCGCCCCCCAACCCGTGGAGACCCTGTAGGGTTTCCCTTGGCTGGTTTTTAGAAGTAAATTTCCAAACCTTTTGGGCTAGTCTGAGCCTGTGAATGTTGATCAGCATCATAGCTACATACAAGTCTTCACAGCACAGAATAGTAACTTGGGGTCATGTGCTTTGACTGGGAATCGAACCCAGATGTCCTGTGTGGAGGGTGAGAATTCTAGCTCTGAGCCGCCATGCCTACTGGAAGGGTCAGGTAGCTTGTGAGACCAAGAGTGGTTACTAGGAAGAGTGGAATGGGTACTAGGTTGTCCCCCCAGCAGGAGCCAGTCCTGGCATAGTTGCTGTTTGAAGGCAGAGATTTGGACTGGTAATTTGGCCTGTCGTCTAATCATTGTACCCACCCAGTCCCAGAAGCGAATGGAGATGTGGATTTTCACATAGCATTTTGAAATTTAAAAATTATGTGTTGGACCACTGTGCAAAATGACAGGTGCTTCCTCAAACAACTGGAAATAGAAATAGCTTCTGACCCCCCCTTGGTGGGTGTGTGCCCCAGGGAGAGCCAGAGCACGGACAGACAGGCAGACAGGTGCATTTCCAAGGTCACTGTAGCCCTGTCCACATCAGCAAGAGTGAACAACCTGAACGTACCTTGGAATGGATAAATAGCCCTGGGGTGCGCACACAGTGGAAAAGGACACATCACTGAGTATAGTGTTGAAACGGAGGCAACTCGTCACTTGGGGGCCATAATGCTTAACTATTGAACTCTGAATTTTCTATCAAGAAAACTGTGGGGAAAAATATGGTATGCAGCCACTGTTCTAATGGGAAAAACCAAGAAGAAGGCTTTCATACCAAAAGAAACCAACCGATGGAGGCGGTGGCTACACATGGACTGCTAACTGCAAGGTCAGCAGTTGGAACCTTTCAGCTCACTCTGCAGGAGAAAAATGGCGCAGTCTGCTTCCATAAAGACTGACAGCTATGGAAACCCAAAGGAGTAGTTTTGTTGTATCCCGTAGGGTTACTTGGGCATGGAACCATGTTGTGCCAGAAGGTTTGGGTGCTTAATTTTGAAACAGTGTGTCTAGTTTATATTTTACTATGAAGAGTCAAAACCATTTATTTGAATGTGCTATGCCTTGTTTACTGACCTGAAATGATTTCAGTAGAATATCGACAGAGGTTGTTCATACTTTGACCTTTTGGATGTGTGGCCACTAAGTTAGGATGAGTGAGGTACAGGGAATGTGTTGGCTGAGCTAGGCTCTGCTTCTACTGAGGTGGGTGAGCTATTGACAGTGCAGAGGTCCTGTAGTAAAATGGGAAGCTTAGCTCCTGAAAAAAAAAGTTAGGGATCTTTGTATACAAGATTTCATGGAATCCTTATAATCACTCTTTTAGGACCTTTTAATGGAACCCGGCTGGGATTTGAATTTAGACCACTCATGCTTTTCTAGTTTTTTATTCATACCAGGCCTCTCCCCGCCCAACTCTTTATTGTGACTCAGGTGAACATTCACAGAGTGGATCAGTTCATGCACATTCTGGTTCAGCTCATCCATTGCCACCCCTCAATACACCATCCCTATCCTGCTTCCTCCCTAGGCTTCTAGTTTCCATTCTTCCTCTTTCCTAACCTTCTGAACTTTGTCCTTGGGTAAATGTTGCCGTTTTGATATTAAATGGAATTGAGCTCAGCTTTAGGCCTGGGGTTTCCACTAGTCTCTTATCTGACACCAGTAATCCTGGTTGCATTTATACTTTTCGATATTGGTCCACATCTACACCCCCCCCCCCACACACACACACTATGTCCAGTATCTCCTTTTGTGATTGTTTTCAGAGCAGTTGGTAGTGGTAGCTGGGCACCATCTGGTTCTTCTGCCGTCAGAATCATGGTACTGATGTCTATCTAATAGTCCATTGGATTGTTTCCATGTCTCTTGAGTTTTGTCATTCTTCTTCCGTCTGGCTGGGGAGAGACCAGTAGTTGAACCTTACATGGCTGCTCACCCCAGCCTTTCCTTTAGAACAGGGTCATAGAGTGAGTGATGATAGGATAAGTGCTGCACACAGGTGGTGGAAAATGGGAGTTTTCCAGGTTCCAAATGGATAGATGGTAATTCATTGGTTACACGTTGGGTTGCAAGACCAGCAGTTCGAAGTCATCAGCTCTCCCTGGAGGAAAGAGATGGGGCCTTCTACACCTGTAAAGATTTAAAAGTCTTGGAAACCCGCAGGGCAGTTCTACCCTGCCCTATAGGGTTACTGTGAGGCGGCATCGACTCCATGGCAGGCTGTGCAAATCAGGAACCGCTTTTCAAATGCAGAGCTGCAGACCAGGGTCTTGCCTTCACTGAAGCCGCGGCCTCACACTGGACATTGGCAATAAGCGTAGTGTCAGCTGTCGTCCTTGCCCAGGCCCTGCAAAGGTTTCGCTGTGCACTCTGTTCCCAGTGGGTTTCACTTACTGTTCTGTAGGAGCTTGGGTCCGTTTGTGCTGGTAGTATTTTGCAGGCTTATGTTTTTAGATTGCTTTAGAAATGTAACAGTCCCTTTTCAACAAGTCAAGTCTCAGAAGTTCTGATGCTCCAGGCTTTCTCTGTCGTAAGGTGTTTCAGGTATGTAGGTAGTGACCAAAATGAAATGTTTGTGGTGAGAGGACCGAGTTCTTTTTGGTGGCTTGCTTTTGCTTACTTATTATTGTATGGCAAGTACGTGTTTCTTGTAAGGAAAAGGAATTTAGGATGTGGTAGGGAACCAGACCTGGGCAGAAATGAATTTTCGGGAAGCAGCTTCCCAGTCGTTTGGGTCTGTCTGAGAAGTGGAATCTGGAGAGGCAGCACTTTTCTCTCTGCTTGCAGTCCCGTTACAGCACAGGGACCACAGCAGACCCGGCCGCCCCAGAAGCACTATGGCATCACCTCCCCCATCAGCCTCGCAGCCCCCAAGGACACGGACTGCGCACTCACGCAGAGGCTCGTGGAGACTCTGAAGCCGTTCGGGGTGTTTGAAGAGGAGGAGGAGCTGCAGCGCAGGTAAGCTTGCATGCACGAGAAAACATGCACGTGTCGGGGTACGATGTAAAATGGGATTTCGATTTTGCCAGCAATGTGGAAATAAACCAATTTTGTGACATCTCTTAATCAGCGATTCCAGGTCAGGGTTATTTTTTCAGGTCTCTGTGTCAGACAGGAGTGATGCTTAGGGGGTGGCAGGGTGTGGGGTGTTAAGACTACCTTGAATCTCATAAGGGGAGGAGACACTCCATCAGTATCAATAGCCCAAGGTTGAACCTTGAGAGGGAGATCAGATGGGCCCCCATCCTGGAACCCTTTTACCAATTCTAACATCACTCGTCCCTCCCGTAGCATTCTGTACTTCCACGCTTGAGGAATTCCCTTGCAAAGGCCATACAGAACTCACAGACGGTACTCATAGTGTGGGGCTTATTAGGGAAATACCAGGTTACAACTCAGGATCAAGAATGACTGGCGATACTGTTCTTTGATCTGGTGGGCAGCCTCTCCTCAGCTGAATCTGCATACAGGCCTCTCCCATGGCCCCTTGGCCTGGCCCTCCCTTGCTAGGTTGAGTGTTGTAAAAAAGTTCCTAGCTTTTGCCAGTAAATGCCTGGAGGAATCCCATTCCACCAGAAAGCTGTCTACCTGGATGGACTCAGCTCTGGCTCAGTGGGTTGGCACACCCATGAGAGCCACCTTGCTCTGTAGCCCTGGCAGTCCACCACACCTTTTGCTGATGATCCTCCCGGTTCTGCTGCCACTGCCTCTCTCACTATCTGTTGTTGTCTCTACTTCACTGTCGTCGTTGTATGTCTGGCCCCCCCCCCCCCCCCCCCCCCCTCCACACACACACACTGAGAGGGAGCTCATTTTATGGCAAATGGGAGAAAGACTGGGTTTTCTATTCCCATCTGCAGTTACAGTCTCTGAAACCCATAGGGGTTGCTATGAGTCAGCGTTGACTGGCAGTGAGTTGGGTTGGGTTGGGGTAGCAAAACTAACCCATCTTGTTATTAGGGCTCCATGCACCCTGCTTGTACAGCCCTCTCTCAAGGGTACCATGCACCTTATTTACATTATTAGTAAGCTGTCCAACCCTATTGGTGGGCCATAAGCACCTTATTTGTATAGTTTTATTCAGCCATCTGATGGGAGTTATAAAGACTGGCTACAAGAGCTGTGTTAAGTGAGTGACTCCACCACAGGGGCAGACTCTTAATTTCCCCCCAGAGTTCTAGTTCTTTCACTTTGATTTTTTGGATGCTTATGTTTATCCAGGGACAGAATTGTTAATAGACAAAAGAATGCCTTGCCCAGTTGTGCTACCACTTGTATAAGTAGCTCACTCTGCTATATACACCTCATTTAATCAACGTGGCTAGGTTCTGAAGAACAAGTCCCTACATGACAATCAGTATGACAGAATGGACGCTAAGCACAACAGCCCACGAAGTAGAGGAAGACTCCATAATTGCATAAGGACCACACCAGAGGGTCCTGGCCCTGCTAAGTTGACACAGAACTGTAGCCGTCACAGCCAGCGTTTGCTCATTACTGCCAGGTGCACTCGGTTCATGTGCAAAATAAGGGGGCCGACTTTTTATAATTGTTGTAAATGAGAAAGTGTTCGATAAGGAGATAGTTGATAGATGAGGAGCAGATGTACTATGTATTTCTGATTAGTTAAAAAATTAGGAAGCCACATAATTAAGAGAGTTTTCATTATCAACAGGAATGTCTTGGAATACAAACAACTTAATTCTTGATTGATACTTGTTTTATCTACAGGATTTTAATTTTGGGAAAATTAAATAACCTGGTAAAAGAGTGGATACGAGAAATCAGTGAAAGCAAGGTAAGGTGACTCGACACCTATGAAATGATTTGCCACCGTAGATGCTCAGCTGGCACAGCAGCTGTCTGTCTGTCTGGCAGGACGTGGTCTTAGTTTGAGTCTACACTGAAGGGAGTTTGTGTTGTCTCTGCAGAGGAAGTAGGAGAAGCTGCACTGAATTGAATGATTTCTTTTTATTTTTTTCATCGTTTTATTAGGGGCTCATACAATTCTTATCACAATCCATACATACATCATTTGTGTAAAGCACATTTGTACATTCATTGCCCTCATCATTCTCA